GATGTGCGTCTGGCAGCCAGTCCAACAGAAGTCGGATGTGCTTCTGGCAGCCAGTCCAACAGAAGCTGAATGTGCGTCTGGCAGCCAGTCCAACAGAAGTCGGATGTGCATCTGGCAGCCAGTCCAACAGAAGCTAGATGTGCGTCTGGCAGCCAGTCCAACAGAAGCTAGATGTGCGTCTGGCAGCCAGTACAACAGAAGTCGGATGTGCATCTGGCAGCCAGTCGTACAGAAGCCGGATGTGCTTCTGGCAGCCAGTCCAACAGAAGCTGGATGTGCGTCTGGCAGCCAGTCCAACAGAAGCTAGATGTGCGTCTGGCAGCCAGTCCAACAGAAGCTGGATGTGCGTCTGGCAGCCAGTCCAACAGAAGTTGGATGTGCGTCTGGCAGCCAGTCCAACAGAAGCTGGATGTGCGTCTGGCAGCCAGTCCAACAGAAGTGGATGTGCGTCTGGCAGCCAGTCCAACAGAAGCTAGATGTGCGTCTGGCAGCCAGTCCAACAGAAGCTGGATGTGCGTCTGGCAGCCAGTCCAACAGAAGCTAGATGTGCGTCTGGCAGCCAGTCCAACAGAAGTCGGATGTGCTTCTGGCAGCCAGTCCAACAGAAGCTGGATGTGCGTCTGGCAGCCAGTCCAACAGAAGTCGGATGTGCTACTGGCAGCCAGTCCAACAGAAGCTGGATGTGCGTCTGGCAGCCAGTCCAACAGAAGCTGGATGTGCATCTGGCAGCCAGTCCAACAGAAGTCGGATGTGCTTCTGGCAGCCAGTCCAACAGAAGCTGGATGTGCTTCTGGCAGCCAGTCCAACAGAAGCTGGATGTGCATCTGGCAGCCAGTCCAACAGAAGTCGGATGATGTGCTTCTGGCAGCCAGTCCAACAGAAGCTGGATGTGCATCTGGCAGCCAGTCCAACAGAAGTCGGATGTGCTTCTGGCAGCCAGTCCAACAGAAGCTGGATGTGCGTCTGGAGCCAGTCCAACAGAAGCTGGATGTGCGTCTGGCAGCCAGTCCAACAGAAGTCGGATGTGCGTTTGGCAGCCAGTCCAACAGAAGCCAGATGTGTGTCTGGCAGCCAGTCCAACAGAAGTCGGATGTGCGTTTGGCAGCCAGTCCAACAGAAGCCGGATGTGCATCTGGCAGTAAGTCCAACAGAAGCTGGATGTACGTCTGGCAGCCAGTCCAACAGAAGCTGGATGTGCATCTGGCAGCCAGTCCAACAGAAGCTGGATATATGTCTGGTAGCCAGTCCAACAGAAGCTGGTTCTGCATTTAGCAGCCAGTTCAACAGAAGCCGGATGTGCGTTTGGCAGCCAGTCCAACAGAAGCTGGTTCTGCATTTAGCAGCCAGTTCAACAGAAGCCGGATGTGCGTTTGGCAGCCAGTCCAACAGAAGCCGGATGTGCGTTTGGCAGCCAGTCCAACAGAAGCCGGATAAGCGTTTGGCAGCCAGTCCAACAGAAGCCGGATGTGCATCTGGCAGCCAGTCCAACAGAAGCTGGATGTGCGTTTGGCAGCCCGTCCAACAGAAGCAGGATGTGCGTTTGGCAGCCAGTCCAACAGAAGCCGGATGTGCGCCTGGCAGCCAGTTTAAAAGAAGCCGGATGTGCATCTGGCAGCCAATCCAACAGAAGCTGGATGTGTGTTTGGCAGCCAGTCCAACAGAAGGCGGATGTGCGTCTGGCAGCCAGTCCAACAGAATCTGGATGTGCGTCTGGCAGCCAGTCCAACAGAAGCTGGATGTGCGTTTGGCAGTCAGTCCAACAGAAGCTGGATGTGCGTCTGGCAGCCAGTCCAACAGAAGCCGGATGTGCGTCTGGCAGCCAGTCCAACAGAAGCTGGATGTGCGTTTGGCAGCCAGTCCAACAGTAGCTGGATGTGCATCTGGCAGCCAGTCCAACAGAAGCTGGATGTGCGTCTGGCAGCCAGTCCAACAGAAGCCGGATGTGCGTCTGGCAGCCAGTACAATAGAAGCCGGATCTGCATTTAGCAGCCAGTCCAACAGAAGCTGGAAGTGCGTTTGGCAGCCAGTCCAACAGAAGCCAGATGTGCGTCCGCTTCTGTCAAAAGCGCATGACCAAAAAGGGTCTTCCGATCAGTGCTCTCAACCAATAGCTGAGAGCGCTGACTGGTGGGTTCTGGGGTGGGGGGGGGGAGAGGGCAATAGCACAGTTGGTGGGATCGCTTTGCTATCACTGCTTGTGTTAGTACAGAAGTCTGTTAGTTTGTTTTGTTCAGCCCGCTGAGTTGAACGAAAAAAAAAAACTGATAGTGTGTACGGGCATTACTGTACTTGTTGATCACATCAGAAATCTTGTCAGCTGAAAACTTCTTGTGCTCTCTGGGGACTACAGAACCACACCCCTCTATGTTATAGAGACAATTCAGCCGAAAAAACGGCCCGTCTATGGCCAGCCATAGTCATCATAGGATATGAGATGTGTTACTGGAAGAATTGCCAGATAAAGATAAAGGAAAAGAAGCTTGAAAGAAAAAGTATTGCAGCCACTACATTTAGCCTGGGTTCACGCGTATGCGGTGCAGTATATCGCATGTGATTCACACAGGAACCGCATTGCATTCCTCTGCAAATCACATGCGATTTGTGTGCAGTGCGTTTGCAGCCATACATTTTGTATGGCTCCAATCGCACCGCATCAAAAAGGTGCAGGACCCTTTTTGTGGTCCGCACTAGAATCGGGTTGCGTTAGTATTCACATCCATGCAATCTGATTCTGCACATCGCACCGTGTTTTACGGACTGATTTCGGGGTGTTGTTAACTTACCATACACGCCTGCAGTGGTTCGCATGAACGGGGTGTGATTCTGATGCGGTGTGGAATTCGCACAGGAAACGCTGCGAATTCCGCACCACATCAGTGTGAACCCAGGCTCAAGGACATTCTTGTTTTTTGGGTTTAAATACACTTTAAGATGAATGCCAGAATAAAAACTAGAACCCGTCAGCGAGTAACCTGTGCCTTGAGTCTGTCCGAATGCAAACATTCATGTCTGAATGGAGGGCATTTTAACGAGATATAAAACATTGTAAACCTTTATAGAATGTAATGCTGCTATAGAAGCAATCTGATTGCAACCTTTAAGATGACTTAAGCCTAGATTACCCCAGTGATTAAGAGGGGGAGCAGTAAAAACAGGTGATTTAATTGTGTTTTTGTCACCCTCCAACCACCCCCCAAGCCTGCAAACCCCGCCATACAGGGCTATAGACACACATGGCAAAAATGATTCCCCTGACATGTTCAGAGTGCAGTACTGCCTGGCAAACATGACCCACGCAAAGTGAATGCAATGAACATGGTTGTGGGCAATGGTGTGGGCTTTTTGGGGTTAAAACAGATGGTAAGGAGGTGACATATAGACATGTGCAGAATGAAAAATTGGTTTTGTTTCATTATTTAAATAATTTCTTTAGTTAAATCTGTTTAATTTGTTTTTGGAATTCGTTTTCTTTTATTCAAATTCGATTAAAATTTTTAGAATTCAGTCAATTTGAATTCAATTAGAATTATTATTTTCTATTCTATTCTTTTTTACTCTACTCCATTCTTTTCTATTATAATTTATTCTATTCCAAAATAATATTTCGGAAGATGGTAATATTATTTCTATTTTATTCTATTCTATAGTTTTTTTTCTAATATATTCTTTTTTATTCTATTCAAATTTATTCTATTCAAATTTATTCTATTCAAATTTATTCTATTTGAAAATCAAATTTTGGAAGATGGTTATATTCTTTCTATTCTGTTCTGTTTTACTCTGTTCTTTTGTTTTCTATTCTTTTGTATTCTATTCTTTTCTATCGGCTTTTCTATTTTATTCTATTCTATTCTGTTTTTCTTCATTCTTTTCTGTTCATTTCTATTCAAATTTATTCTGTTTGAAATTATAATTTCAGAAGAAGGTTATATTCTTTCTGTTTTATTCTATTCTATTGTATTCTATTTTTTCTATTCTATTCTTTTATTTGTTATTCTATTCTGTTCTGTTTTACTCTATTCTTTTCTATTCTAATATTTTATATTATATTCCCCTATTTTCTATTCTGTTCTGTTTTACTCTATTCTTTTCTATTCTATTGCTTTATTTTAAATTCTACTTTTTATTCTTTTATTTTGTATTTTGTTCTTTTTTACGCTATTCTTTTATTGTCTATTCTATTCTTTTCTTTTCTATTCTGTTACTTTATTTTCTATTTTATTTGATTCTATTCCTGTTTTTGAATTTGATTTATTTTCAAATTCAATTCAAATTTCAGCCAAAATGTTGTTTCATTATTTTGGATACTCAAATAATTGTGCAGCGCTAAAAAATGATAGATGAAATCTCATATAATAAAAATGAACATAAATAGTAAAAGCATTATAATTATAAATGCCTATAAATACATAGAAAAATTAGTCCCTTAAGTAAAAAACGCACAGGTACCCTAGTGCGTTTTGAAACATAAATGTCAATAAAAATTTCAATAAAAACTTCCAGAAGATTTGTCAGAATAATCGCCAGGTGATTAAGTACGATCGCAGTGTATAGATCCTCAGGTGGTTGTGCTAATAAATGTATAAAGTGCGCACTCACCAGAAGCGCATAAATATAGCGTGTTGTATCACATACTGTTGGAACAGTCATGGATCCCTTCTTAGGGTCGTCCGAAGTGTAGCCTGGGAGTGGATGGCCTTCCTAGGATTACAGGATATTGGCAAGCCAGGGTAAATGGATCAACCTCATCCAGGCTCTGGGATGTTCACTTGGGATTTCTGGGAAGTTAAAATGCTCGGTGTGGAGCAAAGAAAAGGGGTATTCCCATAGTGTAGTATTTAAAACGGTATTTTAATGGTATTAAATGTAAAAAGTATAAAATCCATTTTTTACATGTAATACCATTAAGTCAGGCAAGTGTTTAGGAAGGGGGGGGGAGGGGGGGGGGAGGCAGAATAGGTGAATAGGTAGTTTGGGGAGGTTTTACTATATAGTCTAACTCAGGGGCGGACTGACCATTTGGAAACTCGGGCACTGCCCAAGGGCCCGGGGTCAGTAGGGGGGCCCCATGAGATGCCCCTGGTACCTTTTTCATAGGCTTTTTTGAGTTTGGGCAAGGACACAGGGGCCCCATGATCCCCTATTGCCCGGGGGCCTCATGAGTTGTCAGTCCGCCCCTGGTCTAACTAAAGGGAAAACTTTTTTTTTTAATAGAGTTGCGATGGATTAGAACACCTGTCACTTTTTACAGCTGTCTGTTTCCCTGTTCGGGAGATTCACCCTCTCTTTTTGTCCTGTTTACCATTATCATTGAAAGTGAAATATAAAAGAAAATCCCAAATTTTGGGTTGTCCTCAGGGGAAATTTTCCAATGGAGACATTAGTTCTGGTGACCTGGGGGGCCCCAAGGAATCCCCTTAATTTGCAGAGATTTCCTCTCACTTCCTGTTTGATTATGGGACAGGAAGTGAAGGTGAATCTCTCCAATGGAACACAGTTGGCACAAATAAAACTTACAGGGACTATAACCCTCCCTTACTTTATCCAGCATGAAAAAAAGTTTTGCCTATAGTTCTACTTTAATGCAGAAAATGCACTGAGGTAAAAAAAACTATTTAACTTTAGAACCACTTTAAACCTGGTTATTCTTCCACTTTAAAGTGATGTTAAAGGCAATTTTTAAAAAACAAAAATGACAAACATGTCATACTTATCTAATATGTGAAATGGTTTTGGACACAGCAACCCTGATCCTCCTCTTCTTGGGTCCCCCCACTGGCACTCCTGGCCTCTCCCTCTTGCTGAGTGTCCCCAGAGCAGGGGGGGGGGGGGGGCTGGACATGAAGGTAAAAAAAACCTTGTGCCTTTACAATCACTTTAACTCTTTCCTGTAAAGTACAGTAGTTCAGGGAAGCAGCACTTAAAGAGCAGAGGCCAGCAGCACTGAAAGTTGTAAACTGCAAGTGCTGCAGTAAGAATTTAAACAAATAGTTTACTGGGAGAAATATTTATTTTATTGTGTTCGATGTGTTAGACTAAAAAAACACTGAGGGCTTGAGGCAGAACTAAAGGCAAAGCTTTTTTTTTCATTTTGGATGGAGTAAGGGAGGGTGCTCCTGACTCCTCCCCCTTGAGCAGAGCCCCCAGGAAAAGCCATTCACTCTGGGGGCACCACTGCGTGCTCGTCCCTGAGCCACTGCTCTATGCATCCATAAGATACATAGAGCTGCAGCTGTGGCCGGTCTCATCTCATTGGCTCACTGGCTGTGACTGACATCAGTGGGAGCCAATGGGCTCCTGATGCTGACTCAGCCAATGAGGACGAGTCCCCAGACCGAAGAGGCTGTCAAAAATGTCTCTAGATTGGAGGGGGCTCAGGTAAGGATGGAGGATGCATGAAGGTAATAAACCTTGAGCCTTTACAACCACTTCAAGCCTGGGTTCACCTTTGTTGCAGGAATGTACTTATAGGACAGCCTCTTTTTTTCCGGGTGTGCAGTGGAAACATTCATTCATAATGGCACTCCAATGCACCTTGCAAACGCGCGCACACTTTTTGCATGTGCCAACCTGCATGGTAACCATGCGTTTTGGCGTAGCGCCATTTTAAAAAAAAGGGATGTGCACTTCTTTTGTGCGATTTTTCATACTTAAGGCAATTAATTGCACTGAATAGGCCACCCTAAACGCAAGGTGCAAAATTGCACAAAACTGTGTGCGCATCGTGCACCTGCATAGGATGTAAACAAAGCCTTCTACTACTAGAGGAGACAGAATACGCCATGACCTTGGCACATCCACAACAGGCTTCAGTGATGTTGATATTAACCGCTTTCCAACCAGAAGTACTGCCACAGGGCAGCAGGGATACGCAAAATCACATATATATACGTGATATTGCAATTCTAGGAAAGGGCACGTGCGTGCACTCTCCCTACCAGCACTGCTATTGGCTCCTCGGCATGTCAATCACCGCGTCCCGCCCACAGATTCTCAGCCGGGACTCTGATCTTCCATGGAGCTGACAGGGGAGAGTTCTGTATGTATACAATACAGATCTCCCCATTACACAAACAGGCTGCTTTGTATTGCTCTGCACAGCAGAGAGACACAAAGCAGCTTCTCTCTCTAGTAAAAACACACACAGAACACAGTTAAACCTTTGACCACCCTCATGTTAATCCCTTCCTGCCCAGTGTCATTAGTACGGTGTCAGTGTTTTTAACCGCTTGCCTACAGGGCACTTATACCCCCTTCCTGACCAGGCCAATTTCCAGCTCTCAGCGCTGTCACACTTTGGATGACAATTGCGCGGTCATGCAACACTGTACCCATATGAAATTTTTATCAATTTTTTTGTGACAGATAGAGCTTTATTTTGGTGGTATTTACTCACCTCTGGGATTTTTATTTTTTCTTAAACAAACCGCTGAAAATTTTGAAAAAAAAAATGTTTTTTCTTAGTTATTGTTGTAAAATTTTGTAATTAAGTGATTTTTTCTCCTTCACTGATGTGCGCTAATGAGGCTGCAGTGATGGGCACTGATAGGCTGCACTGATGGACACTGATAGGTGGCACTGATGGGCAGTGATAAGGAGGCACTGGTAAGTGGCACTGATGGGCATTGACAGGCATCACTGATGGGCACTGAAAGGAAGCACTGATATATGGCACTGATATATGGCACTGATAGGGGGCACTGACTGGCACTGATAGGCAGCACTGACTGGCACTGTTAGGCAGCACTGACTGACACTGATAGGAGGCACTGATAGGCGGCACTGACTGGCACTGATAGGTGGCACTGATTGGCATTGATAGGCATTGATGGATAGGTGGCACTGACTTGTACTGATGGGTGACACTGAAAGGAAGCTCAGATGGGCACTGATATGTGGCATTGATGTGCACTGGTAGGCACTGATATATGGCATTGATGTGGCACTGATGGGCACTGGCAGCTGGCACTGATGGACACTGACAGGTGGCACTTTTGGGGCCACACTGATCATCAGGGCACACTGATCATCAGTGCCCTGATGATCAGTGTACATGTCCCCTCCGAGGAATGCCGATTACTGGCTCTCCTCTCCCCTCGAGCTGTCAGCGTGCCAGCTCGAGAGGAGAGAAATGCTGATAACCGGCATTTCCCTGTTTACATGTGATCATCTGTGATTGGACACAGCTGATCACATGACCGAGCCAACATCTTCGGCTCTTTCCGTAGATCGGTGATCCCTGAGCCGCGCATGCGTGGTGAGAATGGGAGGACGTCATATTACGTCCTCCCAGAACGAGAGAGAACTACATTGTGCCCGTCATTGGTCTATATGGCGGGCGAGAGGTGGTTAATTAGCACTGATCACTGTATTGGTGTCACTGGGAATGTCAGTGGCAGTCAGTTCCCCCCCCCAGTGTCAGAATGCCCACCACAGTCCTGCAATAAGTCGCTGATCACCACCATTACTAGTAAAAATAAAAATCCCAGTATATATATACCGCCATTTGTAAACACTATAACTTTCACGCAAACCAATTAATTTACACGTATTGGGATTTTTTTTTAGCAAAGACATGGAGCAGAATGCATTTTCCTAAATTTATGATGAAATTTGATTTTTAAATTTTTTTTACTGGACATGTTTAATAGCAAAAAGTCAAAAATATTTTTTTCTCAAATTTGTCGCTTTTTTTTTTTTATAGTGCAAAAAAAAAAAAAATCACAGAGGTACCGTATTTGCCGGCGTATAAGACGACTGGGCGTATAAGACGACCCCCCTACTTTTCCTGCTAAAATGTAGTGTTTGGGCTATACTCGCCGTATAAGACTACCCCTCTTCCAATGCACACCAGTGGGAGGAATAGTGCCCCATCATTGATGTCAGTGGGAGGAATAGTGCCCCATCATTGGTGTCAGTGGGAGGAATAGTGCCCCATCATTGATGTCAGTGGGAGGAATAGTGCCCCATCATTGGTGTCAGTGGGAGGAATAGTGCCCCATCATTGGTATTAGTGGCAGGAATAGTGCCCCATCATTGGTATCAGTGGGAGGAATAGTGCCCCATCATTGGTATCAGTGGCAGGAATAGTGCCCCATCATTGGTATCAGTGGCAGGAATAGTGCCCCATCATTGGTGTCAGTGGGAGGAATAGTGCCCCATCATTGGTATCAGTGGCAGGAATAGTGCCCCATCATTGGTATCAGTGGCAGGAATAGTGCCCCATCATTGGTGTCAGTGGGAGGAATAGTGCCCCATCATTGGTGTCAGTGGGAGGAATGGTGCCCCATCATTGGTGTCAGTGAGGGGAGGAATGGTGTCCCATCATTGGTGTCAGTGGGGGGTGGAATAGTGCCCCATCATTGGTGTCAGTGTGGGGGGGGAATAGTGCCCCATCGTTGGTGTCAGTGGGGGGGTAGGAATAGTGCCCCATCGTTGGTGTCAGTGGGGGGTAGGAATAGTGCCCCATCGTTGGTGTCAGTGGGAGGAATAGTGCCCCATCGTTGGTATCAGTGGGAGGAATAGTGCCCCATCATTGGTATCAGTGACACCAATGATGGGGCACTATTCCTCCCACTGAGACTTGCTGACCCTGTTCTCGTATGGTGCTGCTGCAGCCAGCATATGTGGTTGCAGCAGCACCTCTACACAGAACACTTACCTGCTGCTCCGGCACTCAATTTTCGCGGGGCCGCTCGGCTCCGCCCCCTTGCCGGTGATTGGCCGCCTGTGTGCCTTTCCTGAGCTACAGTTCTGGCGGCCAATCACCGGTGAGGAGGCGGAGCCGAGCAGCCGCACGAACATCCAGTGGCCGAACTGAAGGAGACGCCGCGCTTCCTGGACCGGATCGTCGTGGGACTGGATCCAGGTAAGAGACATCAGCCCCTGCAAACCCCTGTACTTAATGCCGCAGCCCCCCTAACATGTGTACCGGCGTATAAGACGACCCCCGACTTTTGAGAAGATGTTCAAGGGTCAAAAAGTCGTCTTATACGCCGGCAAATACGGTAATCAAATACCACCAAAAGAAAGCTCCATTTGTGGGGAAAAAAAGGACCTAACTTTAATTTGGGTGCAGCGTTGCATGACCGTGCAATTGTCAGTTAAAATAACGCAGCGCCGTATTGCAAAAAATGGCCTGGTCCTCTGGAGGGCGAGTGGTTAATAATGGTTTGGGGGTCCCCTCTTGGATTTGGCCGGCTTGTGATGTAACTATTTGTATTCTCTGTTCCCTGACTCCTCATCTTCTGTGTACACCGTATGACAGCGCAGCCCCCACTGACACACCGTGCCCCGCCCCCTGTCCTTGTACCGGCCCCGCCCTCAACGATCCCGCACACCTGTGACAAGATACATTCTATCTTTCACTCTAAATAAAGCCGGGCACCACGTGACCACCTAGCGAGCCTCGCACACAGCCAGTGACAGCCAATGGTGAGCTGAAACGTCAGCCCGGGGCAGATGGACGATAGGAGGGAAGGGTAATGGGCGGTGATGTAATCACAGGGGGCGGGACCGAGCCCCTTTGCTCTGCTAGTAGACAGGCAGAGTAGATTAGGAGAGCACTTTACCCTGCACACTGTACACAGGATGGCTGCTGAGGTCCGGAGGGTGCTGGTGTATGGGGGCAGAGGGGCCCTGGGCTCCAAGTGTGTGGACTACTTCAAATCCAGGCGCTGGGTAACTGTCCACTCAGGAAGTTGTACTCTGTGACTGCTGGCGGCACGGTGTTCACAGTGATGGCAGAGTGTAGATCGGCTGTAGTGGGACTTTGTGATGTTCGGGTTTATGGCATGCTCGGTATAGAATGAATTGCAGTAATGATTTCCTTTTGTGTTCTCTCTCAGTGGGTGGCCTCCATCGATGTGACTGAAAATGCTGCTGCCAATGCCAATGTTGTCGTGAAATTGTCAGACTCTTTCACCCAGCAGTCTGAAGAGGTGAGTCACTGTATAGTGAAGCCTGATCAATATATATCTGTATATTGAAGCCTGATCAGTTACTTTCTGTTTGTGTATAGCCTAATCAATATATGTCTGTATATTAGAGACTGATCAATCAATATATGTCTGTATATTAGAGACTGATCAATCAATATATGTCTGTATATTAGAGACTGATCAATCAATATATGTCTGTATATTAGAGACTGATCAATCAATATATGTCTGTATATTAGAGACTGATCAGTCACTGAATGTATAAGAGCCCGATCAGTCACTGTCTGTTCATATACTGAAACATGATCAATGACTGTCTGTGCATATATTGAAGCCTGGCAATCGCTGTCTGTATATTGAAGCCTGGCCAATGTCTGTGTATTGAAGCCTGGCCAATCGCGGTCTGTCTGTGTATTGAAGCCTGGCCAATCGCGGTCTGTCTGTGTATTGAAGCCTAATCTAAATCCAACTCTGAGCACAAAAAAAGAGTTAAATGCTTGTTAAGTCTGGTGTGGCAGAAGAGGCTGTATTACTTACCTTCTCACTCCAGCAGGCTTCATCAATCTGCTTGATCGGTCCTTTTCTCTAAGTCGCTCTCTGCTATAGTTGCAAGCTCACGTCCTCCACATACAATATAGGGCTCGTAGTCCCCCCCATTGTATGTGATCACACACCAAAGGACTGCTAATCCCTTTGTAATATTCCCTAGGGCAGGGGTGGGCAAACTGTGGCTCTCCAGCTGTTGCAGGACTACAAGTTCCATCATGCCTCTGCAAGTCATAGCTGTCAGTTTTGTAATGTTGCAGTGCCTCATGGGAAATGTAGTTCCACAACAGCTGGAGAGCCGCAGTTTGCCCACCCCTGCCCTAGGGGATATTTGACTAAAATTGGTGAACGCAGAATCTGGTGCAGCTCTGCATAGTAACCAATCAGCTTCCTGGTTTTATTGTTAAAGCCATACTGAACAAGCTGAAGTTAGAAGCTGATTGGATTCTTTGCACAGCTGCACCAGATTCAGTGTACACATTTTAGTCAATCTCCCCTAAGGGGTATTACAAAGGGATTGTTTTATAAAGAACCTTCATCCCTGATTTTCAAGTCAGGAACAGTTTGGGGGGTGTGGAGCCAGGGAGCCCATATTTTTTAAAGTATCTCTTATTTCTGAATTCAGTTTGTAAAAAAATTTACGCTGTTTTTAATTCTGATAAAAATGTAGAGAATTTCTTTTTCAGGTGAGGTGTCTAGAATAAAAATACAGTATAAGAATGACTTGACATGAGCTAAGATCTGTAGGATCCCTTGAATGCTAAGAAGGCCATTCTACCAGTTAATGATATTAGGGAGACTTGAAGTTCCCTCAATAAAGGTGATGACCCTGGTGATCTAGGTTTAGTTGTGGTGCTAAACAAGGGCAGGGATCCTTGTACAAACATGAAAGATGGAATGTACATCAACCCAAAACAAGGTGCGGTATCTAGGTAATATTTTAACAAGGAACTACAGGGAAACTAAATTGGAAAAGGCCCCTAGAGCTCTCCGCGTTAAAAATTTAAATATAATTAATTATATGAGAGAGATCAAAACTTGGAGCAGGTAACTCCTGTTCTAGTGCAAATCTTATCTGTTGGGGATCTCATTAACGGTGGGCTCCCATAATTACATCCAGAAACAAATGAGAACGAGATCTTCAAGTTGCAGAATTTCTTCAACTTGGAGATCTCATTTCTATGTGTGTGTGTGTGTGTGTGTGTGTGTGTGTGTGTGTCCCAAGGAGCAGGGCCCTCTTGTATTGTTACTGTATTGTCTCCCTTTTATAATGTAAGGCGCTGAGCAAACTGTTGGCACTGTATAATAAATATAATATATATATATATAATATTTTTTTTCTTTTTTTTTGTGCCATATTTGCACATTATGGCAGACATTCCTCTCAATATGATGTCAGCATTTCCTGTCAGCTTTCCATCTTCTGGATCTGGAGTCTTTGGCCTCTTGATTTGTTGGCTGGGGATGATGTGACACATCCAAGCACCCTCAGCAGACGAACATTTTACATTGAGCCAGGAGAGTGCGAAATCTGGTGTAGTTGTGCATAGAAACCAATCCGCTTCCAGGTTGTATAGTCAAAGCTTAATTGAACAATCTGAAGTTAGAAGCTGATTGGCTACCATGCACAGCTACACCAGATTCTGAGTGCTCCAGTTTTAGTAAATTTCCCCCCTAGAGTCTTGAATTCCATTAAAAGCGATTTAGAATTTCTTAAAAAAAAATTATCTATTTTTTTTTTTTTATGAGCTTATCTCTGAACCTAGCATGACTGTATTGTTGGCTTGCAGCACTGAGGTTTTGGGATATAGCAGACATTCTGGGACAAAGGTCACTCCATTTGGATCTCCTGGACTCTAAGCCCTGGCTCACACTGGTGCGGCTTGTCATGCAATTTGACAATTCCAAGTCGCCCCTATTGCTGGCAATGGATCATTCATATCGCTGCAACTCTTGCGATTATGAAGAAGGTTCCTGCACTGCTTTTTGCTGATTTCATTGCGACTTGCATAGACTTCTGTTATATGAAGGCACAAACCACAATGAAACCAACAGTGCAGCACATCGCACTAATATGCGGCTTTGAAATTGTGCTGAAGTAGCATAATCAAAGCTGCACCAATGTGAACTGGGGCTTAATCTATAATTCGTTACCAAAATCTAATGAGTACAGCAATGGGAATTCCATTGATAAGCTCATAGTAATTGTTCACAGGATCTAAAACTAGTCAGCAATTAATTTTTATTTTTTTTCCTTTACTGCTCATCAGGTCACGTCTGCAGTAGACCAGCTCCTTGAGGGAGAAAAGGTGGATGCCATCCTGTGTGTAGCTGGAGGCTGGGCTGGAGGCTCTGCAAAAGCCAAATGTGAGTCCCTGTTCTGCAAAGTCAATATATTCTACTGGATGAGTGTATTATGTGGATCAAAAAATGTCCCACATTTTAAATTTGAAATAAAAGTTCAAGTCTGTAATAAAGTCACATGGATGAATATCTTGTATTGTACAAAAATGCCTATTGGGGTGGGGTGAGCTGCGGACTCGCATCTCTGCGAGTTTCAAAGAGATGCCGGTATCAAAAGCAGTTTGGTCCATGTAGATAATCCATAAAAAGCCCGTAAAACTAGACAAAGCATCCAAAACGCCAGCAGGGGCGGACTGATCATTCAGGCACTCTGGCACTGCCAGAGGGCCCGGGGTCAGTAGGGAGCCCTATGAGATGCCCCTGGTACCTTTTCATAGGCTTTTTTGGGTGTGGTTTGAGTGTGGGCGAGAGCACAGGAGCCCCATGATCCCCTATTGCCCGGGGGCTCATGAGTTGTCAGTCCGCCCCTGGACGGCAGTAAGTGAAGAATGTTGAGGTAGGCTGCATCATTACTATGGTTTACACATTTATGTCTGAATTTACAGGTATTAAGATATTTTAAAGTTAAACTTCAAATAGATCTAAAAACCCCATTTATTCCAGAGATACATTCAGTAACATTTAACTAACATACATAATTGTCAGCATCTTTTATGCTTTTGTATGGAACAACTCAGACTATGAGACTGTGTCCATACTTTGAGCCAATTCTGCTCTGCTGCATGCACATGTGCTGATGAGAGAGAAAAAAGATGATGACCTTATCAGTCTGCCTCTGCTCCGTCCTTGTCCAATCACAGTTTAGGAGGTGACCAAACTGTATCAACCACAGTAGAGAAAGCTGAGGTCATGAATATGACTATTCTGTCTAAATGTGTAAATCTCCTATACATATCCTAACTGTGTGTTTAGTGATTTGGCAACTTTAATTCCTTTTGGCTGCCATAGACTGCTTGAATTTCAGACACTTCTTGCTGAATCAAACAAAATTCAAGCTGTGGCCATGTTGGAACCACCCAGATGGCTAAAAATTATATTTTAATTGACTTCTTTCAAAGGAGCCTTGTGGAAAATTGCTGGCTGAACATGGACAGCTTCCAATCAGTTGCAGTCATTGTTCAGGTATTTTGATAGCTGCAAGTGCTGTGTGTTGGAATACAATAGTCAGCAGGAAACATTCCTCTATCCTTGCCTTAGATTCCTAAAATAGGAGGCTACTCGATATTTTTTGTTCATCCTGTTGGTTGAACTAGAGAAATCTATATGGCCAGGGTTGTTGTTATAAATTATAGGGCCCTATACAACCTACTTGTCGGCCCCCCTACCTTTTTTAAAAAAAAAAAAAAACCCACAGCTTACTATGCTTCAGTTATGAATGAACACAGCGAGTGATTGGTAAAGATGAGATTTAAAAAAAACCCACAATTTCTTTTTAGCGTATTCACACTTTTGGATCTTGTACACTTTAAAGGGAATGCCTGTAAATGCGTGATACATGCAGTTTTTGTGAATGCTTTTTTGCGCATTTTTATGCCTGAAGAATTCCTCTCCTCCTCCCCTTGCCCAGCCCAGGAAATAGATTCTTGAAGCTTGATACATATGCAAAAACCCTTGGGAAATAAAAAGCTTCAAAATCACCAGGAATACACTATGCTTACGCTCTGCTCAGGTGTGAATGCAGGCTAAATGTGGATCTACAAGCCTGAACGTGCTTTCTGCGTCACATCAGTGGTCAGCTACCCATCTCCATAGGAGGATGGCTTAGAAAAGGCAAAATCAGAGTGAGTCAGCCTTTTCAGCCATCTGTGTGTCTGGTAGCGATCTACAATATTATCTCTAATATACTCCATATGTAAACGGATCAAGTTGCTTCTAATTACGTTTTTTGAAGTTGCAGAGGTTCTACAAAGACTTACTGTTTTGGTAATTGGTTGTTGAGAAACTGGGTTTCTCTGGTTATTCATCCTGAAAGCTGAATATTACAAAGAAAATCATAAAAAATATTAAAGTCTTATTTTAGTAAAGAAAAGAATAACTCTGCCTTACTCTGATTTGTGATTGTTAAAAGCATTTTGAATATCACATTTACTAATTTGAAATGCTTTATTTTCAGCCCAAATTATTTTATTCCTGGTTTTTATCTGCTTGTGATACAATGTGTGACTTTTGTGAAAAAGAGACATTTTATTGTTTGAGCTGTTACACACTTTAAGTGTACTTGCACACAGTACTAATGTCTGAACATCAGTTTTCCTGAACAAAATGTCTTGCATTGATTTTGTGCGTTTTTGTGTAAATTTAAATTTTAACTTTCAGAATGGAATTTTAACCTCTTCAAATTAAATATTTACACATGTAAAATACTGACCAGCAACTCAGATTTCTGTTTTTTGGTTTTTTTTCTCATCCATGTGCAGGGCATGTTTAGTAGGCCTAAAGCAGCCTTTCTAAACCAGGGTTACTTCAGGGGTTCCTTGAGCAATGAGCAACTTGGACCTCTTTGAGTAACCACTAACAGCAATGATTTATTTGAGGGATTCTTCCTACTAACCCTAAATGACCATCACACTAATGTACAGTGAGCTATAGATATAGGAATTAATATCAGGGGTTTTCTGAGACCAGAAAGGTATTTCAAGGGTTCCTCTGTTAAAAAAAAAAAAAAAAAAAATAAAAAGTGGAAAAAGGCTGCTTTAGATTATCAACAAATTCTTCTGAATCTTGTTTTGTCTCACAGTGCATTAGTATTTGTTCTTTTTCTATTTACTTGAGTTTCCCGGTAGATTGATATTTCCACTAGTTAATGATTTCTGATCATGACAAGATAACCATTACCACTATTTATCTTTTCTGCCTTTATTGATCTGTAAGATCGAGATAAAAGGCTTATTTTTAAAATTGTGTATAAATGTCTGGTTCATTTCGTGTGTGTGTGCATGTTTATTTTTTGTTTTTTCTTCCATAAATGCAATTGAAAATAACTAATGTACAGTATATTCTATATAATTATAGTAGTGGAAAAGATAATAAGAAATTTCTTGCATGCTTTTCCTATCGCATGCCAACCTTTATGATTTATAGATAGAACCTAAAGTTGGCCACACTGCTTTTCTGAACAAACATTCACTGGAACAATCTCATTATTACATTTGAACATGCTAACAGAATCTTGATGAATGACATTTGAAAGTATTTAAAAAGTTTTAGTTTTGCGTTTTACAATTGTGGGGTGTTTTTTGTTTCTTTTGTTTGCTTTTTGTGTGGGTTTGTTTGTGGTTGTGTGTGTGGTGTTTTTTTTTTTGTTTTTTTTTTTTTTTTTTTTTTATAATGAACACTGCACAAACTGTTTGGATATTTATTGCTTTGAGAAAAAAAATTTGATTAAAACTTTCCAGTCACTACTGTCAAAAGCAGTCATTAATTTGATACCACTAATGACTAATAAATGGCCTGAACATTCTGAAAAATTTAGTTTCTGAATGGAACTTTACTAGTATATGGCCAGCTTTGGGCTAGCTTTACACTTGTAAATTTATTTCGTTCAACTCCTAGGGCTAAACTAGAGAAATCACTTGGATTTTTTTCTTTTTTAATTTCTTAGTTTTTATCCCATCCATGCTGAACAGCACAGATGAGGAATATCCTCTCCCACCTATTCTGTTCCAACTGCCACAGTGCATGCATATGGCTAAATATCCGAACACAGATTGCATCTGATTGGATGCAGTTGCTATTTGGCCAACCATTTTCCACTCAATTTCCCTTCAATTTTTCAATTCAGCAGAAATTAGCTGAAATTCAAGCCATGTTTGGCTAGCCTGGTTGCTAGATAAATCTGTTGCAAGAAATAGCCAGCACAATGTCCATGTACCTCCAGAAATGTATTCAAGAGGAATATCACCCCAAATTAAAAACCTATTCTATAGATAGAATTTCATTGACTCTACAGTTAAAAAAAACAAAAGTTTTTGTAAAAGGTAAAGTCTTCAGCACTCTATAGCCTTCAAAACTAACATTGCATTATCAGAATGCTGTTTTCTCTCTTTTTAGATCGGTGTGATTTTTTTTTGTTTGTTTTAAATTTTTCTTTCTTAATTCACAGCATTTTATAAGAACTGCGACATGATGTGGAAACAGAGTGTTTGGACTTCGACCATTTCCAGCCATCTTGCCACTAAGCACCTTAAAGAAGGAGGCCTTCTCACCTTGTCCGGTGCAAATGCTGGGTTATCTGCAACTCCAGGTATAGCTTTCCACAGTAAATGCGGTTGCAAAATTGTTTTTATTTTTTAGCACAGGGAAGAAAATTAATGTGGACATCAAAGGTAATTTTCTTTCCTACACTTTTATATTTTTCCAGAAGGCCTGTTTTTAAAAACATTTGGATAATGCTCTGTTTTGGGAACAACTCACCTGAATATTGTACATTTTATAGGAGGTCAGCCTGTACCCTTATATTCCTAGCTGTGGTCCCAGAATCTGATTCTGGGGAGCCAATGAACAATGCCTACTAGCTAAGTTTTAGAACCTAAGAGTGTTTACTCAACAGCACTTGTGTCATCCAATGGGTTGCTGTTCTAAGCCTGGGAAGCGATGGGCACACACGTTTACGTATGAGATTTCAAACACACAATCGCTCCCATTGCTCAGAGATCCGTCACAGTCGAATGGGTCCAAGGATGACAATTAATAGATACCACCGGGGATGCATAGCTGATGCAGCCCTCCTCAGATAGGGGGATCCAGCAGCAACAAAGAGAAGGGTGCAAGCAAGTGAATTACCATAGCTTTATTAAAGACAAGTGTTACAATAAATGGGTAAGAGAAGATAAAAATGCATTGAAACCACAAGATAACATAAGGTGTAGGAACCGCGTGTCCCAACATGCAGCCCCCCTATGCTGGTGAGCTGATGTGTTTTGGGGCATTAGCCAGTACATACCATGCCTAAATAGATATACTACATATACATGTGTACATATATCTAGGCATGGTATGTGCTGGCCTGCTTGGCTCTGAGGAAGAGTGTGCTCCCCCAAAACTCATCAGTGCACAGTGGGGTTGCATGTTGGGACCTGGGGTTCCTACACCTTTTTGTCTTGTGTTTTTAATGCATTTGTTGTGACACTTGTGTTTTAACTCCTTACCGCTGGCCGCCCGCCCGCAGATATGTGGCCTCTCGGCAGGTGGGCCTTAACACTGAGAGGCCTCATATATGCGTACCCCAAAAAAAACAGAACTGTGCTAAGAGCGTGCACCATTCCCGCTCCCGGCACATTTACCAGCAGCTACCGGAAAGCTCCTCATCGCAAGTAGAGATTTTCAATCATGTAACCAGTGTGACAGCCAATCATGGTGGTCAAATGAATACAAACTCAGCCACGCCTCCTGGTATCTAAAACACCTTAAAGGCCAGGAGATACCAGCACAAAGGGGTTAATAAATCTTTGGTAATGCACTAGGTGCTTGCGCCCTCCTGTTTGTTCTTTTTGTAGTAGCTATGAGATTTGCCCATTGATCGGTCACAGAAAAGGTGGTATCTCTTCTGAAACTGGACTAGAATTATGTGGCCCTTTTAGAGTTCCTTTTTAAGATTCTTCTTCTTTATTGATCTCTCTCTGCCTATATTTGATGGACATTGCCTAGTGAATGGGGCACCCTGTCCTGCTTACCAATTAAAGCAGAGCACCAGCATTAATGAATGTCATTAAAGGTACAACAGCGGATTGTGTAATTGTCTATCAGTTTTTGAAGGAGAATATTTACTGATTGTTTCTGACTTCAACATTTTGAAGAGTCGCTGCTTTGAAAAAAAACCTAAGGCCGTTTGTGGAGACTTTCTTTAGGACCCTGAAGACGCTGGTGTCACCCTAGCTAAGGCTCAAGCTAGAAAACATGCGTTTTGCCCACTGGCTGAGAATGCAAAAGTGCTCAGTGAACCAGTGACTGTATATGACACTACAGTCTGCTTCATATGAATGATTCTTCTTGGCATCAATCATCTCCCCCTCCCAAAATGAGGGATCACTGACAGCTCAGATGAACGCAGGACTGCAACCACAGGTGCTGGGAGTGAGTCCTGATATAGATCTGGGAGTGCTGAATGCTGGAAAAGAACGCATATATATATATATATATATATATATATAATTATTATTTTTTTTTTTCTTCCTTTCAAACAATATAGCTTTCACCTTTTCACATGCTCTGGCCATAGACCTACACATTTTGATCATTGCTGCTATACATTTCCTCACACTGTAAAAGGGTCTAATAATACAGAAGACCTTTGCCTTCCTATGACGTTTATCCCTTTGCTGTTTTGAGAGATGTACTGTAATATTTTGTCTTTTGATCCTGGAGAGATATATTTAGACTCATTTGGAAACCCATGGAAAAGAAAAATGACCTTCGGTCATGTAGTGCAGTATGTTTATCTAATGGGGCTTATTATATTACGTCTGCTGAGCTCTGATGTTACAAATTACCAGAAATTCTATAGTATGTTGTTGCATCATAATAACTACACAAAGGCGCCTGTTTTGTAGGAATGCCTTTTCTTCAGCAGACATGTGCCTTTCATTATATAAAACAGTTGAGTATTACAAAACAAGGATTGGGAAACCTCCTACTTGGGATGTTCTGGCTTAATTAACAGAGTCTGCAGACAGAAGAGAGACAGACAAACAAACGTATCCATTGAGGCTGATTTTCTAAAGGTTTTAAGAGTGTTCACACAATACAGTGAGTGAAGATTCACTTCATTAATCCAATCATATGAAAAGAAAATCCCTGTGTACTTTTTTTTTTTTTTTCTGTACATTCTCAAAATCTTTAGTAAATCGGTCTTGTGCTGTTCATACACCATATAGATTTTTTTTTTTTTTTCTGTTTGGCTTAACAGATTTCTCAATCTATGCTACTCAGCATGGATGGATTCATCTCCTGCCACAGCTTTTATATTTTGACAGCCGGCCCTACCCACTGTCAAATTATCTGGACATTGTCTGCATCTGAATACAGCCAGGGCTTTTTTTTTTTTTCTTTCAGGAGTACGGGGGAACACAGTTTCAGCACCTACAGCACTGATTTATGTAATGGCAAGGGGTGCTGGAGAGTCTATTGATGCTGGCTGCCAGGACATCTATTGTCGCTGGAGGGAATCCAATTTTTGAGTGGGGTCTGTTGTTGCTGGGGGTCTATTGTTGCTGGGAGGATCTACTGTTGAGGGAGAGGTTTATTGATGATGGTTGCTGGGAGATCTGTTGTTGCTGCTGGGGGTCTACTGTTGCTGGGGGATCTATTGGTTTAGAGGAGATTTATTGTTGCTGGAGGGGTCTATGATTATGGCGGGTCTATTGTTTCTGAGGGGTCTATTGTTCCTGGCTGAAGGGGATCTGTTTCTACTACTTTTCTTGTTATTGACAAATTCCATGAAAATTACATAGCACCACAAAAAGATACTTGGTTCTGTATTCTCTAAATAGGGTGGTACTATGTGATGGGTAGGTGGTGGAACCAAAGGGCGGTGCTTGGAGGTGGGTGGGGGGCATAGATGAGGGTAGCGTTTAGCAGGTTAAAGCAAGGCGCTGCTGCAGCCATAAGTTTGGTATTGATTTTTTTTTTTTTTTTTTTAGAGCAGACAAAGCTTTCAGCTAAAAGGGATTGGGGCTACTCTAGAGACACCCACCCTTGTAAGGGAGATTGAGAGATATATCTACATTAAGTGTCTGGTCATACTGGTGCGATTTGGGAATTTAAATTGCATCTAATGAATGTGAATGTCAGTGTCTTATTTGCGATTTGCTGCAGCACAATGTCTAAAGTAGTTCTTGCAATAGTTTTTCTGCAGTTTTGTTTTGATTTCACATACATAGAATATTATGGAAATCACACTGCAAATTGCAAGCAATTGATGAAAATCTTCGCAAGTAGCAAAGTCTTCAGACATCACATTGAAATTACACACAAATTGCGGGATTTTAAATTGCAGCGGTGTGACCGGTGACTAATCCTCTTCTGGTCTGCGTCCCGCAGGTGGGTGTGATAGGGAGGCGAAGACTCTATGCAATTTATTCCTATTCTGGACTGTTTTCCCTTGGTGGGTAGAAGAGGGAGGTGAAGACACTATACATGCTACAGTTTTGCTCCTGTAGAGTACACCTATTTCCAGGATTGATTGTGGACCTTGTCCCCTTCTCTTTTTTTGATGATCCACCACTCGGAGGCACTCTTTTGAAATCTAAACCTATAATGTAAGAGGAAGTTGCAACTGATGCACATGAACCACAAGGCATTGCACTCTTCTCTGGACTGTATATTCTATTATATATGGAGATCTTCCTATTAAACACATCACGTGAATCATATCTCTTGGATGACATTAATCTATCGGCTGCTTCTGGAGTAAGAGAGAGAGAAAAGAGTACCGCTCGAGCCTTCCGTATGTCAAGGATGGCCTCAGCTGTCACGCTGGCCACGCCCTCTGATGTTACACCCCGCCCACCGAGGCTTGATCACAGACTACTCTGTGATCAAGCCCCGGTGGGTGGGGTGAAACGCATCAGAGGGCATGGCCAGCGTGACGGCTGAGGCCACCCTTCACATACGGGAGTATACAGGAGGCTCAAGCGGTGCCCTTTTTCTCTCTTTCCTTCTATAGAATCTAGATCTTAATGCAGACGCTGCTCCCCTGCTATGCTGCTGAGGTGACTTAGACTACATGGCTTATGAGTGGCGCTAAGATTTTTTTTACACTGCAATTCATTGCTTCTGCAGTAAAACATTCATCCAATGAGATATCAAGCTTAATAAGTGTTGGACTTCAAAATCTTATAAATCATCAAAGTGAGCAATACTGTTCCATATTTGGGCAGCACAGTGGCTAAATGGTTAGCACTTCTGCCTGGCAGTACTAGGGTCATTGGTTCAAATCCCAACCACGGCACCACCTACCTGAAGTTTTCATGTTCTACCTGTGCCTGCGTGGGTTTCCTCCAGGTACTCCGGTTTCCTCCCACACTCCAAAGACATGCTGGTAGGTGAATTGGCTCCTGTCTAAATTGTCCCTAGTATGTGTATGTATGAATGTGAGTTAGGGACCTTAGATTATACACCCCTTGAGGGTTAGGGACTGATGTGAATGTACAAATATATATGTAAAGCGCTGCGTAAATTGTCGGCGTTATATAAGTACCTGAAATAAATATTTGAATGGAACATAGATGGCTGAATAATATATTTATAAAATCAGAAATTGTGTCCAGCTCCGCTACCAATTGCAAAATTTTGTGAATAAATGTTAAAGAAATAATCCTGCATCGAAAGAATACATATCAACATATCAATATCACTGCAATTATATTACTGCTGCAAACATGTCCTTATTAAGTCCGTGACCTTGGCACTTCTTCTATGATACGAAATAATATCCGTGCAGTCCACAATTCTAAAAATTATATTGTGCACCTTCATCGTTTGTGCTCTCACCTGGTGTGTATGACCAAACCGTTAAGTGAAGTCATAAAAGGCTTGTGTCCCTTTAGTTGGACTTAATGGTAAATGGATGGGATTATCCCTCTTTCCCTGGGATGGATAGGCAGAGTGTTCCCTCTGTCCAGCAGGGGGTCTCCTCGCTTCCTTTATGGATTTTCCTGGAGCCGGATAGATGGACGGGAATATCCCTCTTCCCACTAGGGGGTCTCCTTGCTTCCTTAGGGATTTTGCTCCATAAGTGTAATGGCAATGGAATGTGTAATAAAAGAATATAGTGCCTTTATCCTCTTTTAAAACATAATTTATTAAAGTGGTGCACTCACATGTGTTATAAGGTAAACAAACATGCATTAAAATGTTGAAATTTGAATCCACAGTAAAGTTTTTCCAAAATTGCTGAATACTTTGATGTATGTTGCTTTAAGCGTCGTGACGTCAGAGCCCCTCCCCTACGCGTTACGCCACCGGGTAACTTGGCTTCATTGAGGGACTTTGAAATTGCGATACTTCACTTGAAGTAGCGCAATATCAAATCTGCAGATCAGTGCAGTGTGTACCTCTGCTTTCACTGTGGCTTGTGACTTCATTTAACAGAAGTCAATGCAAGTCACAATGAAATTGGTAAAAAGTAGTGCATGAACTAATTTTGAAATCGTGCTACTTCAAATTGCAATGATTAAGACCGTGCCATAGAAATACATTAGATGCGACTTCAGGTGCGATTTTGTAAATTGCATGTTGCACCGCTGTAAACCAGGGCTTATGAGGAAGGCTCCCTCACCACTCCAAGTGCTGAGACTTCTACGTTAATGATCCTAAACATGTCTGGGCTCACCATCTGTGTCCTGACTCCAGTAAGAGCAAAAGGAGACATTAGGGCTCTGTAAGCTAAGCACAGTAGAGACACCGGTGGTCTCTCTATTCCTCTGATATCTTTACTTGATGTACTGTATACTGATACACAGAAAAATAGAAAGCATTGTCTGAACTTATAGTGCACCAAAGAACCATATGTCTAGTGCAATAAACCCATAGCACCCATTTGACAATCAAATTTCATTATTCTTGATATGCTGTACTGCTGAAAGGTAAAATCGTTTTCTTTGGATTCCTGAACTGTGAATTTTGCATTCCCAGCAGTGTATTTTTGGGGTTACAGCCTTCAGAATGGGTATGCCTGGAACAGGCCCACTAAAGGGGTTCAATAAGTATTGAACATGTCACCATTTTTCTCAGTAAATCTATTTCTAAAGTTGCTATTGACATGACATTTTCACCTCATGTCAGTAACAACCTGTGCAATCCATACATAGGAACCAAAACAAATATGTTCAGAAATTTAAATAATATGTGTAATAAAATTGAATGACACAGAGAAAAAGTATTGAACACACAAACTGAAATGTATTTAATACTTCGTACAAAATCCTTTTGGTAAAGACAGCTTCAAGACGCCTCCTGTATGGAGAAACTAGTTGCATGCATTGGAGTGATTTTGGCCCATTCTTCCACACACAGTCTTTAAAGTTTGAAGGTTCCTTGGGCCTCTTCTATGAACTCTAATCTCTAGTTCTTTCCAAGATTTTCTATTGGATTTAAGTCAGGTGATTGGTTGGGCCATTTTAGCAGTTTTATTTTCTTTCTTTTGAAACCAATTGAGAGTTTCCTTGGCTTTGTATTGGGGATCATTGTCTTGCTGAAATGTCCACCCTCATTTCATCTTCACATTCATGGTAGATGGCAGCAGATTTTTATCAAGAATGTCTTAGTACATTTTTCTATTCATCCTTCCTTTCAGTGATATGAAGTATGCCAGTACCGGATGCTGAAAAACAGGCCCACATCATGATGTTCTCACCTCCAAACCTCACTATTGGTATGGTGTTTTTGGGGTGATGTGCAGTGCCATGTAACCTCCAAACATGGTGTGTATTATGGCACCCAAAGAGTTCAATTTGGTCTCAACTGATCACACTATATTCTCCCAATATTTCACAGTCTTGTCTAAATGTTGTGCAGCAAACTTTAAACAAGCTTCAACATGCTCTTTTGTCAGCAATGGAGTCTTGCGTGGTGAGCGTGCATGCAGGCCATGGCGGTTGAGTGCATTACTTAGTGTTTTTCTTCGAAACAATTGTACCTGCTAATTCCAGGTGTTTCTGAAGTTCTCCACAAGTGGTCCTTGGCTCTTGGACAACTCTTCTCATTATTCTTTTCACTCCTCAGTCAGAAATCTTGTGAGCAAGATGGTTGTGGCTGGTTTATGGTGAAATGATATGCTTTCAACTTCTGGATTATGGCCCCAACAGTGCTCACTGGTACTTTCAGAGGTTTAGAAATTCTTCTGTAACCAATGCCATCAGTATGTTTTGCAACAATAAGGTTGCAAAGGTCTTGTGAGAGCTCTTTGCTTTGACCTATTATGAGATGTTTCTTGTGTGATACCTTTTAGTAATGAGACACCTCTTCCAAGACTGGTTCTTGTCAAATTATGATTCTCCTAAACAGTAAAAAAAATGATTAAAAATATATTATGTGTGTATATATATTGGATGAGTTTTTCTTGCTCGGACCCTGTTGAGAAGGTCACCCCTCAATTCCCGACCCAGTAGGAACATTGGAGGAAGGGACACAACAGAATTTAAAACGCTCTTGGTAAAATGTGGTAAGCTAGAACCATCTGTGTTGCTGTTGAGGATTACTTCTTACTTCCTGCCCTAAGGGGCATCACAGTGGCTTAGTGGTTAGCACTTATGTCTTGCAGCACCTGCATGCCTGCTTTGAATCCCAGTCAGGACACTATCTGCATGGAGTTTGCCTGTTCTCCCTGTGCTTGTATGGGTTTCTTTCCACACAACAAATACATACCAGCAGGTTAATTGGCTCCTATCTAAATTGGATTAAGGACCTTAAATTGTAAACTCCTTGAGTACAGTGACTGATGTGAATGTACAGTATAGATGGATCAAAATTTTGCCAGTTCAGCAGGGACTGAACGACTTCCAATCAGCCAGGTGCAGTTTGCTTTCTGCACTGCAGGTGGTGCTCATACCAAGTGGCACCACAGCCTGGAGAGGAAGTCCAAGAGAAACAATGTTTCTCTCTGGTTTCCTGGGTCAATGGGGCAGTGTTACTCTTGGCTATGCAGCACCCATGTGGCCATCTTGGATCAGCAAGGTCTATTTAAGTCCCTGCCCCCAGGTTTTAGCGCACTTCTGGCATGTGGCTAGTGTAGTGATAGAGACCCTGCCCTTTAGGGAACGTAACTAATGGTAGGGAAAGGGTCCTGGTGAGGAGGAAAAGATTATGGACTCTCTATCCTGGACCCTCTTGGGACCGAACCAGCAAGGCATGCTTCACCCTCTGAAACAGATGCTGTTGGCACCTCTGCTCCTCTACATCTGACTACAGTTAACTGTGTTATTTCCCTAGCAGTGTTCAGGGTGTCTATAACATTGGCATTTTGTTTAAGGCCCAATTTACGACTTGCACTAAAATGTATTGGAAATTCATGTACATTTCCATTCATTTTATTTGTATTTTAACATTTGCTGACGTCCATTGACATATATTTTGATGTCTGTGCAATGCACAGCATTCTGATGTGAATTAAACACATTGGAAATGATTGTTTTTCAGGTGTCCTTTTGTTGAGCTGCATTTTTACAGCTGTGCTAAAACCCAGATCAACGCACCTGTGTGAATTGGCCCTAATACAAGTTCTAGGTTTTGCTACAGACTTTCAAACGAAAAAGTTGGAAAACTTTTCTTGATCAGTGTATTCTGGGAGCTGCAGAAGCAGCTGTCAGAATACAATGTCCCACTGCTGTGGGGGATTTCCCTATCTGGATAAAAACGTGATGTGGTGTGTGGGTTTGGTGTTTTTTTTTTTTTTTTTTTTTTTCCATTCAGCCCTCTGATAAAAGAATCTATGGCCAGCTTAGGTAAAGCTTTGGGCGTAAAATGTCAGTGCTATATAAATACCTCCAGTAAATAAATAGAAACGGTGTCACTGGGACATGAGTCTTATCCTTTTTTTTAGATATCAACCTTTTTACCAGTTTCATTCATAGGAAAGATCTAATAAGCCCAATTTTTACCATCCAGGCCAGTTAATTACTAGCTCGGCATCAACACCACCAGGACAGCAGGTGAGGAGAAATATCTCTACAGACAGCATATAAAAATGACACCCGTATCCAGAACTTAAATGTCTTGTCAGGATTTGCACTTTACCCATATTGCATGCTTTTCTCTTTCTTGGACCTAGGTATGATTGCTTATGGCATGGCAAAGGCAGCCGTCCATCAGCTGTGTCAGAGCCTTGGTGGTGAGAAGAGTGGACTGCCGGCGAATTCTGCTGCTGTAGCTTACTCCCGTAAGTCTTTTTATTTATTTAAGATTTCGATCCATGCTGTGAATCTGAATTTGTTTTAGACTGACTGTGGGGCAGCGGGAGAATGCTGCTACTGTTCAATACAATACACAGACACTTGCCAGGCGGCCTGTTTTATTGATCATGTGAAAAGAATAACCATTTCTGATTTTTATGGAGCAGGGAAACCTGATGTTACTATGAAACAAGTTATTATATTTCTGCCAGTGTTTGTATCCTAATAATACAAGCTATTAACCTGTCTCTGCATGTTATTTATTTCATTCAATAAATAATTTCCTTTCAATATCATCTCATTTAGATGTGTATGTCTGTTCTCAGGAAATAGTAATAGGCCTAGATTTAGAATGTGGATTTTATCGACAATACAGGGGTGGACCTTGTTACAGTCCTATACAAATGTGGCTTGGTGCAAAGGTTGCTGTAATAGGCGGGCTATTGTAAACAAGTTTGGGGGGCCAAGGTAGCAGTATAAAGTAGGTAAAGTGGGGTTTAAAGTTAGGAGGCCTAATGCATTAGGGGGCTAGTGAGACTATTGTTGACTAAGTATCATATTTCAGTTTTTTCGTTGTCAACCCTCGACATGTACAGTGAGCAGCCATACCATTTTTTACCACCTACCTACTACTGATTAGATGTCCCTTTTGCCACCCAAACAGCCCTGACCTGTCAGGGCATGGACTCCACTAGACATTGAAGCTATATGTGATATCTGCCTCTGCCAGCTTATCTTCTTCCCATAGTGCATCCTGGTGCCATCTCTTTGCACAGACACCCAGCCATCCACATTATTTAAAAAAAAAACCACAGCAGTATAAATTTTACACACAGGTCTCTCCCCTGTTACTGTTTCTCGGTGATTGCTGGGTGTCCCGGCAGAGAATCTCCATCCGGGACCCGGTGACTGACATCCGTAGCTGCCAATGGTGGTGCGGGTAGGGCGGTGCGCGTGCACCCCCTACCAGAAATGCAAATCGCATATATATATATACGTGACTTTGCGCAACCCTGCCGCTCTGTAGCAATATTTCTGCTATAGGGTGGAGGGCAACTGGTTAAGGAAACCAGGAACAAATAAGAAAAAAAGTTCAACTGCACCAAGGTCCCTGTTCCCTCCACATTGGTCATAGCATTTAAAAGTTTCTTTTTATCAGCTTTACATCCAGCATGGCTGTTAGGAACACAGAGTGGATCAGGATCATAATTGTGTAAAAAACAGAGGTTTGGAGAACAGAATGGGGGCAGTAGTGTGAGAAGTTGAAGAATTGTAGCAGGCCTAGGTTTTACTAAAGGCAAATGGCTGTTGCAGGAACATTGCCCCAGAGCATAGTGAATAATGAAAACTTTTGCTGACTTCCCTCATCGATCATGAAGGAAAAATACTTTCTTTTTTTTTTTTTTTTTGCACTTGATTGGGTTTTCTTTTCAAAGTGAAATTCACTAACCTCTGGTGCAAATCAATTTGCAAAGTGAACAGCCTATGTGCCTTTAGTAAATCAACCCGCGTGTGTGTGCGCGCGTGTGTGCGTGTGTGCGTGTGTGTGCGCGTGTGTGTGTGTGTGTGTGTGTGTGTGTGTGTGTGTGTGTGTGTGTGTGTGTGTGTTGTGCGCAAAGTGCAAAGTGATTTCAGGAGGTTCAAAATACAGACTGAAGATCATTGTGGCAAGGGGATTGTAGGAGGTACAGAGGATAGCCTGAAGCTTAAATGTGTGCAAAGTGATTGGACAGATTTGGAGGGCAGCCTAAGGATTGGATCTGTGCAAGGTGATTGTGGGAAGTTCAGAGAACAGCCAAAGGAATTATGAGAGATTGGGAGGACATGGATGTGAAAACCTCATGAGCGGCTATACAATATTTTTTTTTTTTTTCTAATTTGAAAGCTGCTGACCCCAAACACAATCCCATATATTAATGTGCTTTAAAATTGATACCAATAATTTGGAGGACAGCCTGAGGATTAGATATGTGCAAATTGATGCAGGAGGTTCAGATGACAACTTTGATGAATCTCTTGCAACCACTGGTTGCACAATTTGATCTCAAGCAGTGTTTAGATACTTGCAAATTGATAGCCAGAGGTTCAGTGGACAGCATGAGGAGCAGATTGTGCAAAGCGATGGCGGGAGGGTAGGAGGACAGTGTAAGGTTTAGATATGTGCACATTGATTGCCAGAGGTTTGGTGGAGAGCATGAGGATCAGACCTGCAGAATCATTGTGGGAGATTCATTTACATTGTAAAGGTTAGATGCAATGTGATTATGGGAAGTTTGGAAGACCGGGTGAGGATGAGGAAGAGGATAGTGAATTTGCATGGCTGTGTAAGATAGAGAAGAGTGTTGCACAAAAAAAAAAAAAAATAAAAAATGCGTACTGTCTGCAAAGATGATGAGGATCCTAAGTATCCAACGTATGTAGGCAGGCTGGAATAGGACAAACCTCCAAATGTATGAAAGAAGTGGCAGCTCTACGCTTTAACCAGCAGGAGAGAGGTGCCAGGGTCTATTGACATTACTTCCCTTTTCCTACAGGCCTTTGAGTATTGAGCACATTTAATCAGAATTGTATCAAAGCTATAGTTTACATATTATCACTACTGGCATATTTGCTGCTGCCATGGTGGACTGCTGGCTCAGAGCTCCCACTGCTAATGATAATTTATTTGTTGACATATTAAAATCCATAAGAATGTCTCAATATAAACTGCAGTTAAAGTGATTCCATAGGCTAGACATTTTTTACCTTAATGCATTCCCTGCATTGTGGTAAAAAAATGTTCCACTGGCCATATCGCACCCTCACCCCCCCTAAATACTTACCCGAGTCCTCACTCAATCCAGCACTGTGCCCATCTGTAGCAGCTCTCTCCTCTCTCCTTGCATTCACTGGACAGAGAGACATCATCGGGAGCCATTGGCTCATGCTGCTGTCAATCAAATCCTGTGGGGGGGGGGGGGGGGGGGGGGGGGGAGTGGGGAACGGAGCTGAGCAGCACGGTGTGTGTTTTAGAGCGGGCCTGCACATCTGCCCCCATAGTAAGTGGCTTGCTATGATGGCAGCGCAGAAGAGGAGGAGCCTAGAATGCTGGCAGGGGAACCCCAGAAGAGGAGGTTTGGGGCCTCTCTGTGACATTCCATAGCACAGCACAAATAAATATAACAGGTTTATTATTTAAAAAAAAAAAATGTGACCCTTACACCCGTTTTTTAAATCCGAATTACAGCTTTTTTTTTTTGTCTTAAGAGGTAAAAAATAATACTGTTTTGGCCTTTAAAGAGGGTTGTACAAAAACATCCTGAGTTAACGTTGGCCATCACAACATCCCTGGAGTTCTCAGCCAGTAGAAAAGTCTCCAGAATTAGGCATGGCACCTTCCTGGGACTGGAATTCAGCTCTTAATTGGAACATTGGCATCCTTCCATCCTCTGCTTAAAGTGATATTAAAGGTTAAAATTAAAAAACAAAAAAAAAACAAACACGTGTTATACTTACCTGCTCTGTGCAGTGGTTTTGTACAGAACAGCCCCAATCCTCCTTTTCTCGTGTCCCCGCTAGTTTGCCTGGCTTCTTCTTTTCTCCAAGGCCTCCATAGAAAACTGCTGGCTCTGGGGGCACTCATGCATGCTCGCTCCCAACCCTGCTCTGCGTGTTCATAAAACACATCAGAATGTGGCTCGGCCCCACCCCTGATCTCTCCTCACTGGCTGTGATTGACAAGAAGTGGGAGCCAATAACTCAGCCAATGAGGATGCAGAGACCTGAGAGAGCAGCAGCGTTTGTGCACATCGCTGGATTGGGGTCAGGCTAGGGTATGTACTAGGGGAGCTGCACACCGAAGGTTTTTTTGGCTTCATGCCTAGAATGCATGAAGGTTCAAAAAAACCCTTCAACCTTTAGAACCACTTTAAAGCCAACCATGGGATGATCAGCAACAAGCAATCTCTTAAATGGCAGGACCCTGGAGGTGGTGGTTGAGGGTAGCTGAAGCCAATGTTTGTTAAAGGAGTCTGCAAAACCCTAAATAGTTGCAAACTGTTTTTAGTGTAGGGAATAATATTGGTTTTGGAAAAATATATGCATGGTCGGCTCACCTAAAGCAGAATGCATGCTCACAGAATTCAAATAAAAAAATATTTCTATAAATGTGCAATCACATTGGCTGATTCGTAGAAGGGTTAACATACAATGCTGCTCTTAGGTGTACAGTGTGCGATTTAATAACCGTTATCTTTTTCCATTGCCAGTGTTACCTTGGATACGCCAGCCAACAGAGCCTCAATGCCTGATGCAGACTTCAGTGGCTGGACACCATTAGACTTTATCGCGGAGTGAGTACACCGTATCCTCTTATCAGCTTCCAGCCTCTCGCCCCAGACTATGTTCTTCTCATTATATTGTTTACCTTGTGATGTTCCACTCAGCGCAATTACTGGCTGACACCATAAGCAGTGACAGTATTTCTCTTGTATTGTAAAGGTGCAATATGTACATGAGACGCGTGTAATATATCCCTAACAAACCCTCTAATGCCTCACAAACGATGAGAACATCAATGAATAATCGTCCCTTGCATGCTAGTTTCATATAAAGAATGAATAGGTTACTAAAGTTACAGAAGTTCTCAGACAGAATACAACGAATGTATTGTATTGTAATGTATTCTTTCCTTTTCAAGAATGCGCAGTCTTGGTCACTCGATTTTTTTTTTTTTTTTTTTTTTTTTTTTTTTTTTTTTTTTACTTGCGAATACTGTACTGATTAAACGACAATCTTTGATCTGTTATCGTATGATAAAAAAATGTTGTGCTTGTCCCTTCAGATCATTTCGCATGAACTATTGTGATCGGCTCTCGAAAGCTGTGTACTAATGATCAGATTATCTGACGATTGCTCTGAAAGTGTTTTTTTTGCGTCCGATAGTCTCATCGTGTGTACTAGGCATTATTGTGTATGAACATTACACATGCTGTGCTGTACAACTTCCATTTTTAACACATATTTCTCCAATTTTATTGAACATTTTTAAAGGCACCTTAAACACTAGGGGTGGATTCACACTACTGTGCAGCAGTTTGGCTGCAGCATGGGTGCAATGCAGTATACCCACGGTTTTTGTGCAGATTTATTCAGAAAATGCACCAACAAGTGTGATCTCATAGAATTATATGGGAAACTGTTTATAAACTAAATGAAAACTGCCGGTACTCAAACCCCAGCACAACAGTGCGAAACTGCTCTAAAATATGGGCACACCCATCTCCCAACTCTCTCTTCTTGACCTTCACTATTTCTTTTAACTAGTTTCTTTTTTCTCCTTTTTTTTTTTTTCTCAGCTTGGATTTATACATTTAGTTATATGGAATTGTTTTGTTTCATAAATCTCACCCAGAGATTCCCCACTTGGAACTTTTTTTTCATATCTCATTATATGCTATTGATCCTTTCATCTTGCCGTTTGTATGGAATCTTTTCCACCCATCCATATGGATCATCTTCACATCTGTGATGTTTGTATGTTCATTTACTTGGGTTCATGTTCTCATTATTTTTCGTGCTCTGTTTTTTTGTTACATTTGATACAAAAGAAAATAAAATAAAGCCAAATTTGCGTTTAAAATATGGGCACAATAAATATATAAAATTAGTATTTCCTAAAACTATTGAATTGGCCAGACATGACCTCCCATGCATATGCATATTTTGTACATCTACAGTACATATTCAGTTTGTATAATGTTTGAGCAAATCTATGGTGGCCATTGCCTAGACATTGTCATTTAGCAGAGATCTTCACTGCCATAGTATGGCTGTCTTTATCCTATGGATAATCTATGCAGTAGCCATCATTAGGTTTACCATACAGCACATATGAGATTAATCCTTTGGACATGTTGTTTAAATAAAGATGAGCATTAAATAGGTGGTCAGTAAGGTTAGGTTCACACTAACCCACACTCTGCGGGATGTTTGCGGGGCAAGAATCTATGCGATACCGCAGCTGCGTCAAACTTCTCTTGCGAGACTCGGGGGTGCCAATCAGAATGAATGGCACCCCCATGCATCTCATCCTACAGCGCAATTTTGGAACGATCGTAGGTGCGAAAACCGTATGGTCAAAATGACCATGCAGTTTCCGTGCGCATGCATTTCAGAAAAGGTGCATGCAACTTTTCCTTGCGTGAACTGTGGGCACAGCAGCCCATTCAAATGAGTGGGCTGCTGTGCCTGTGCTAACACGGGCCGCCCAGCCTGCACTAATGGGAATCGGGCCTTATTGTTACAGCAAATATACAGTGGGGAAAATAATTATTTGATCCTCTGCAGATTTTGTAAGTTTGCCCACTTACAAAGAAATGAAGGGCCTATAATTTTTATTATCGGTCTATTTTAAATGATACAGACAGAATATCAACCAAAAATCCAGAAAAAACACAGGATACAAATGTTATTTTACTGACTGAACTGCAGCTCAATTTATAAGTATTTGATTCCCAAGCAAAGCATGGGTTAGTACTTGGGGGAGAAACTCTTGTTGGCGAGCACAGAGGTAAGACGTTTCTTGTAGTTGGTTACCAGGTTTGCACACATCTCAGGAGGGATTTTGGTCCACTCTTCTTTACAGATCTTCTCTAAATCCTTAAGGTTTCTTGGCTGTTGCTTGGCAACTCACAGGTTGCAGCTCCCTCCATAAATTTTCTATAGGATTAAGGTCTGGAGACTGGCTAGGCCACTCCATGACCTTAATGTGCTTCTTCTTGAGCCACTCCTTTGTTGCCTTGGCGGTATGTTTTGAGTCATTGTCATGCTGGAAGACCCATCCACAACCCATCTTCAGTGTTCTGGCTGAGGGAAGAACGTTCTCATCCAAGATTTTACAATACATGGCCCCGTCCATTGGCCCCTCCAGTGCGAAAAGTCGGCCTGTACCTTTTTTAGGAGAGACAGCCCCAAAACATAATATTTCCACCTCCGTGCTTGACTGTAGGGATGGTGTTCTTGGGGTTATAGTCAGCATTTTTCTTCCTCCGAAGTGGCGAGTCGGGTTAATACCAAAAAGCTCAATTTTGGTCTCATCCTGACCACAGCGCTTTTTTCCAATCCTTCTCTGAATCATTTAGCCATTCATTAGAAAACATCAGATGGGCCTGTACATGTGCCATCTTGAGGAAGGGACCTTGCGGACGCTGCAGGATTTCAATCCATGGCAGCCTATTGTGGTACCAATGGTTTGTTTGGTGACTGTGGTCCCAACTGCTTTGAGATTATTTACAAGCTCCTCCCATGTAGTTCTGAGATCCCTCCCTTTTCTCATGATCATGAGTACCCCATGAGGCGAAATCTTGCATCTTCAGACTGAGAGCGGTTGATGGTTATTTTGTATTTCTTCCATTTGTGAATAATTGCTCCAACAATTGTCTCCTCACCAAGCTTCTTGCTGATGGTCTTGTAGCCCATTCCAGCCTTGTGCAGGTCTACAGTCTTCTCCCTGATGTCCTTTGACAGCTCTGCCCATGGTGGTGAGGTTTGAATGGAAGTAAGAGATTCTGTGGACAGGTGTCTTTTTATACAACCCCTTGGCAAAAAGTATGGAATCGCCACTCTTGGAAAATGTTCATTTAATTGTGTAGAAAAAAAAAAAGCTAATCCAAGCCATGCCTTAAAGCTAATTTCATTTAACATTCCAACCTTCTGGCTTTAAGAAACACTTAAAAAAAAATAAAAAAAAACTGTAGTCAGTTACAACTGTTTTTGCAGATCAAGCAGAGGGAAAAAATATGGAATCACTCAATTCTGAGGAAAATATTATAGACTCATGAAAAAAACACTACAGTACACCACTATTACTTTGTTGCACCACCTCTGGCTTTTATAACAGCTTGAATTCTCTGAGGCATGGCTTTAACTATCGACAAACACTATTCTTCATCAATCCAGCTCCAACTTTCTCTTAATGCAGTTGCCAGATCAGCTTTGCAGGTTGGAGCCTTGTGGACCATTTTCTTTAACTCCCACCATAGATTTGTAATTGAATTGAGGTCCGGACTATATGCAGGCCATGCCATTGACATTATGGTTTTTTTTTTACTAAAGTTGGAGAGTCCAAAATCAGACTCCCTTCTGCATAGAAACCAATCAGCTTCTAACCTCAGCTTGTTCAATGAAGCTTTGGCAATGAAACCTGGAAGCTGATTAGTTTCTATGCAGAAGGGAGTCTGATTTTGGACTCTCCATCTTTAGTAAATAAACCCCAATCCTTTCTTGAAGGAAAGTTTTCACGGCTTTTGCCCTGTGGCAAGATGCATTATCATCCTGAAAAATGTCATCATCACCAAACATCTCCATACATCCTTTCAATTGATGGAATAAGAAAAGTGTCTAAAATCTCAATATAAACTTGTACATTTATTGCAGATTTAATAACTGTCATCTCCCCCGTACCTTTACCTGACATGCAACCTCATATCATCAATTATTGCAGAAATCTGCATGTTTTCTTCAGGCAGTTGTCTGTATACATTTCATTGGAATGGCACCAAACAAAAGTTCCAGCATCATCACCCTGCCCAATGCAGATTCGTGATTCATCACGGAATATCACTTTCATCCAGCCCACTGTAACCTTGTTTTTTTCTGTTTAGGTGTTAATGATGGTTTTCCATTTGGCTTTTCTGTATGTAAATCCCATTTCCTTTAGGCAAGCTCTTACAGTTCGGTCAGAGACAATGCCTCCAGTTTCTGCCCATTTGTTCCTCATTTGTTTTCTTGTGTGTGTTCTGTTTTCAAGGCATATTGCTTTTTCTATCTTGATGCTTTGATGTCTTCTTTGGTCTACCAGTACGCTTCCCTTTTTTATAACCTTCCCATTTGATTTCTACTTGGTCCAGATTTTGTACACAGCTGACTGAGAACAACCAAGATCTTTTGCATCATTCTGTGATGATTTACCACCTTGAAGTATTATAATCCTCTCCTTTTCAACTGACATCTCTCATGTTGGAGCCATGATTCATGTCAATCAGCTTGGGGCAACACTCACCAAAGTGTGCAAGCATTCTTTTGCTAATTAGTCTGCAGTATAAAAAAAAAATCTGATGCAGATGTTTGTGTTAGAACTGCAAAGTACATGGTGATTCCAAAATATGTTCCTCAATTGAGTGACTCCATAGTTTTTTTTTTTTTTTTTTTTTTTTTTTTCCTCTGCTTGATCTGTAAAAACAGTTGCAATTGACTAGAATTTTCTTTCTTTTAAGTCTCTTAAATCCAGAAGGTTGGCATGTTAAATGGAAATTAGTTTTGAGGAATGAATGTTTTTTTTTTTTTTTTTTTTTTTACACAAACAATTGAATGAACATTTTCCAAGAGTGGTGATTCCATACGTTTTGGCAGGGGTTGTACACATAATGAGTTCACCTTCCTAAATTGACAGGACTAACCTGTGTACCACAAGAGCACATTGCCAGGCTGTTGGAGCCAGAATTATTGTTGGTTGGAATGGGATCGTATACTTATTTTAGTTTACTGAACTGCAACTCCTTTTATAACATTTGTATTGTTTTTTTTTTTTTTTTTTCTGGATTTTTGGTTGATATTCTGTCTCTATCATTTAAAATACACCTATTATAAAATTTGAAGACCCTTCATTTCTTTGTAAGTGGGCAAACTTACAAAATCTGCAGGGGATCAAATTAATAATTTTCCCCACTGTAAGTGAGAGACACAAGTTAAAGTGTATGTAAAGTCAAAACTTTTGTTTTGGAAAGAAAAATACCTTTCCTCCACTTCCTGTTTTTGGAGACCCAAAAGAAAATGAAAGGAAATCTCCCTAACGTGAGGAATATTTTTCTGTTTTTTTTGTTGCCATAGGAAGGTTTACCCTGACCTCCTTGCTTTGGTGACAACTTGAAGGTGTTGGATTGGATTTTCCATCACATTCTTTCTCTGTAAGCCCCTTTCAAAAGGGGCAGACTCTATCCCTATCAGCAGGGTATACACTTACAGCGGGTGGATGACAGGTCCATGTCAAAAGCAGAGTGGACACATACAGAGCCCACTGTTTATACCTGACTACCCTCCAATCAGGAGGACAGATTCCCAATTGCATTTCCTTTTTTTTTTTTTTTTTTTTTTTATGTAAAGTCTGTTTACAACTGCCTGTCTATAGAGATGATGGGCCATCCAATTAGGTCCACCTGAAAAACTGACAGGTAGACCTGATCAGACATGCCGAGTGAAAGGGGCCTAACATTGAAATCCAGGACAAACAGGCAGGTGAAGAAAAGTTTTCCAACATTCCCATTCAACAGAAGTCAATCATTTAGTTAATCATTTTCCCTGCCGATCTGGCCAAATTTCAATCCACCTATGGCCAGCTTAACCCCTAATCACTATATCCAAAACAAACAAAAGTTTGCCTTTTATATACAATTAATTATGGGATTTATAATTTTAGAGCCCACATTACAATATTAAATATGCAGGTCTAATGCTAACTATATATTCATTTTTACACATTTCTTTATCAATATGATCTTTTAATGTGGAAATGCGCTCAAGAACAGGTGGATACTTAGTCTAAAATTTGGTGATTGCATACTAATATTACCATTAACCGATTCCCAAGCACCCTTTAGCAAAAATACTGCTACAGGGCGGCACGGGTGCGCAAAATCACGTGTGTGTATATGTATGTGTGTATATGTGTGTATAGATAGATGGATAGATAGATAATTATATATATATCTATATCTAACGTAATACAAAAAATGATCTGGTCAGGAAGGGGGCTAAATCCTCAAGTGGTTAATATTGATGACAATGTTATTAATACATTTTTCAATTTTTTGCTGCTTTTATTTTTAATTATCCTTTGATGTTTGTGTTGGTATTTATTGTATAGATGAAACTTGTTTGTTTGATCATAATGCACTAACCGACCCTTATTATTCGTTGTATTTCCTCTTCTGCAGAACATTTTATAACTGGACCACTGGGGCAAACAGGCCAAAGTCTGGCAGCCTTATTCAGGTGATCACAGAAAAGGGAAAAACAGAACTTGTTCCGGCTCATCTGTAAGATGGATGAAGCCCTGCCACAAGGATATGAAGGAAAAAAAAAACAAATCTGTACTTTTTAGCTTCCTTTTTAAGATGTGTACTACCACGAATATAAAACAATTAGCTTTTAATGGTAATTCCCTGTATTTTGCATTGTTAAAGTATCCTATTAGCTCATATCTGTTAAGCTGTCAATGGAACTATTTGGATATTCAATATAAACTTAGTTTTTGAATAAACCATTCCTGTTTTTGGGCCTTTTGATGTGCATTTTGCTTTATTTCCTCTTGAAAATTAAACTTTTATCAGGCAAATGTATACAGACTAAAACCATAAAGCGCTATCCTCCGAGTTCACAAACATGGGTAATCTCCCTTTAAATCTACAATAAACCATGTGCAAATTATGTTTGAAATGAAGTCACAAAAAGCCCTTTGTATATCTTATAATAAAGTAATAAGTAATCCACAAAAGTGCTTGTGAAAACAAAAGATCCAAATTCTCTCTTTTGCTAGAATGAAAGCAAACCAATCCAGCCACCACCAAACTCCTTACCCTGCAATATGACCAGGACAAACGCAATATTACCCACACACACATTCCTGAAAATGGCTATTCGGTATTGCTGGGTGCTGTAGTGACCACAGGCTTGGGACCTTAGACAATCCAAGTGAAGAAATGACACCAGCACACCAAGGATTCCTCAAAATGGGTCCAAAGCTTTATTTTTGTGGTCACATGGTAAACACAAGGCAACGTTTCGGAGCCACGCAGGACCCCTTCATGCGTTGAAGTTGTTAGCTGATGAAGGGGCCCTGCAACATTGCCTTGTGTTTACCGTGTCACCATGAAAATAAAGCTTTGGACCCATTTTGAGGAATCCTTGGTGTGTTGGTGATATTTCCTCACGTGTATCACAAGGAGGTCAAAAAGCCCTTGTTATAACACCATTCCATGCTCTCCTGCTCAGATGTCTTTCCCAGGATCTCATGGACAACTCACAGGACCTACATGGATGGTTTCCAGGGCATATATCTGACACCGTAGGACTGTGGGTATTCAGCCATTCAAACAACTACACCTTTCTGCATGGACCATATACTTAAGAAGGAAGCATACTGTGATACTGTTTAAAAGCTGCTATTTAACCACTTCCAGACCGGACACTTTTACCCCCTTCCTGACCAGGGCAATTTTCAGCTTTTAGCGCTATCACACTTTGAATGACAATTGCGCGGTCATGCAACACTGTACCCAAATGAATTTTTTACCATTTTTTTGAGATAGATAAAGCTTTATTTTGGTGGTATTTATTCACCACTGGGATTTGTATTTTTTTTGCTATGTAAATGAAATATCCAAAAAATTTGAAAAGTGTTTTTTTTTTATAAAATTTTGCAAATAAATAATATTTCATCATAAATCTAAGCCAAAATTTATTCTGTTATCTTTTTAGTAAAAAAAAAAATCCAAATTAGTTTATAAGCAAAAATTTATAATTTTTAACACATTTTTTTTTATTTTTTTTTTTATTTTTTTTTTTTTTTTTTTACATACTGTCACCCTAGCAGTACAGTGTCACCATGGTGACACTGTACTACTTGTGAGGGGTGATGAAGATTTTTTTTTTTTTTTTTACACTGATTGCTTTTACACCCATATAGGATGTAAAAGCAATCATTTCTCTTTCTCTCTGTGTGCATTCTTGCACTCATTGAGAAGAACTGAGTGAGCTGTGATTGGTCACAGCTTGTCACATGGTACAAGGCTTTTGTGAATAGCCTTGTACCATGTGACCTCTGTGATCATTCACAGATTTCACACATAGTAAGCAATGATGTCAGAAGTGACATCTTGCTTACTACTTTGCATGTGATCACTGATTGGCCAATCAGTGATCACATGATCGGGACTTCGTACAGAGGTCCCGGCCGACGATCGGTGTTTCACTGTGTCCGGAGGACACAGCGGGCACCGGATCGCGGTGCTGCGCGCTCCCAGGGAGCGCGCACAAGCAGGGTGCGGGGGAGGCCGTTTATAGACGGCCACCCGACCCTGCAGTGCCACCGTCCGGCCGTTTATATACAACGGCCGGTCGGGAAGTGGTTAATCTTGGCATGTACGCTTTCAATAACGTTCATAAACAAAATCCGCAAACATGAAATAATAATTGTGATAAAATGGGGCTATCTGCATCAGTGACCAAGTGCGCATGCGTGAAAACATAATGTGTCAGACACTGTGCCCCACCTGGCGTGGCATTTCGTTACAAATAATGGCTTCAGTGGAAATGGAAACACGATGTCTGTGAATTACCGTCTTTTGTCCTTGAATAGTGGCCTGGTTTTTACAGTTTTTCAGATTAATTAGTTAACATTCTGTATATGAAGAAAAAGACACGTATGTATTTCTTAGCATCCTTTTTAAGCTGTGTACTGCCATTAATATAAAACAATTTGCTTCTAATGGCATTTTCCTGTATTTTGCAGTATTCAAGTATTCTGTTGGCTCATACCAGTTAAGCTGTCAGAACTATTTGGCTCCATGCACACAAAATGCCAGTTCCCAGGGCTGAAAAAAATGCTCATATTGAGCGTTTTGTACAATGTGTTTGTGTGTTTAGGATTGTTTGGGGTTTTCCGGCAGAATAAATGCTAATCAAAAATGCAAACCAGAGGGGGTTTTTTGCCTCATAAAACTCTGAGCTTAATATATGTCTCTTAACAGTTCTAATGTGCATGGACGCATAGGATAACATTGAGCTGCTTCTACAAGCAAAACACAACTCCTGTAGACAGTTTGTTTAAGCTAGTGTGTATGGAGCCTTTGGATATTTAGGGCTCGTACACTGCAACTGATAAACTCACGTTTAGGAGTTGTTCAGTGGTTTTTTTCCAGCATCCCCTGAACTCACCCTAATGTTTTCCTATGTGTCCATGTACACTATGTCATTTACAGTCGTTTACAGGCATTTGAGTTTACAGTTGTTTTTTTTAACACAGAAAACTTGCATTCAGCAGACGATTTTATCAGCGTTTCAAACGAAAAATGCTTGTAAACGCGGCAAATCACATTTATTAGCGTTTGCATCTGAAATTTTTTTTTTTTTTTAACTTTTCCAGTTCCCAATGCTGTCCAGAACCTTTTTTTTCATCATGAAAAAGGCATGCAAAGCGTTTTCAAGGTACTCAGATGGACAAAACACTGAAGACAGGATGTTCCTACCGAGCTTGTCACACATTGTAATGACCAATTCCCACCTCAGACCTCTCTCACCCTTGGAAACAAAAGATATGTTAATGGCCATTCACACCTCAAATTCCTCATGAGGACCCCCTGCCAGGTGACCTTAATGACTCCCTCCACCAGACACCTTCCCACCCTTGGAAACAAAAGAAATGTTAATGAGCAACTCACACCTAAGCTAATTTCAACACATACTGCTGTCTTTGCTTCTACTCTCTGTATTTCTCTGAAACAGTCTGAAATAGTTAATAATTTACCACTTTTCAGTGCATTCTGGGCATTTGGGAGGTTCTCAACGTTTCTAAATGCAAACGCACATAAACGCGTTATGCAAAGGCGACTAAACAGACATTTCTTTAACCTACGTTTTCCAGCAGTCAGTTTCCATCGTTCAGAAGTGTCCCGTGTACATGGGGCCTTACTTTAAACTTAGTTTTTGAATAAACCATTCCTGTTTTTGCCTTTTGGGGTTTATTTTGCATTATTTCCTCTAGAAGGTTTAACGGTTTTCAGGCAAATGTATACTGAAAGTATTCCATGGCTGCTTCATACATACATTTTATGAAGGTTTATGGATGACTAATTCCAGACAGTTCTATACAGTCATTCAGATTGAGTGCGGCTTCGAAAGAGTGCATAGAAGAAGCAGTTAAACGCAGCAATCTAATTATGCCTTCTCTACTTTCACAGGTAAATGCTCCTTTCACCTACCTCCACTCTTAACTCCAAAACGCATTGACTCCTGCTGCCTTCCTCCTGTAAATGCTCCTTTCACCTACCTCCACTCTTAACTCCAAAACGCATTGACTCCTGCTGCCTTCCTCCTGGGTAAATGCTCCTTTCACCTACCTCCACTCTTAACTCCAAAACGCATTGACTCCTGCTATATTCAGAACAAATGGTGTATTTATATTTTTGTATATGTTGACCAGTTCTCACCTTTAGCTGCACCCGTTTTACGATCGGTGTCTGTTTCCTGAGAGAATCATCCCCCACTCCTCATGTGATCTTTATCAGCTTCTAATTGGGGTGTGGAGTTGAATGCTCATTTGAGCATCTCCCTATAAATTTAGATCAGCTCATGGGGGAGATCTCTGATGGGGGGCACAGTCTCTGATGGGGTGCTGCTTCAGATTGAGTGCGGCTTCGAAAGAGTGCATAGAAGAAGCAGTTAAACGCAGCAGTTGAACTAAAGCAGGAGAACCCAAGCAGCAGGAAGACACAACAACAGTAAGAAGCTCTACTGCATGCTGGAAGACTGAAGCAAACACCCTGGGAAACCTCTTACATGCCTGAGACCCACTCTGTGTGCCTTTATATAATACGCCCCTCTTCTCATCATATTACTACCCTCTGTTCCCAAATCTCATTTCTCTACCCCTCTACTCCACCCCACAACCTGTACATCTCCCCCTCACTGCTATCATCTCCCTACTACTGCTCTCTTCACCTCCCCAAAATGTCTCTTCCACTCCTCCTTCTCATTTTCCTCTCCTTCGCTCCCAAATTCCATTCACTATATCCCTCTGTCCCTCCCAAACATTTGTATATCGTGTCCTCACTGCTTCCCTCACCCCTCTATATGGCACCCACCACCTCCTCCTATTACTCCTACTCTCCCACTGACCCCAACACCTCCACTAGGAGTTTCTCACGCTCCTGCACATCCCGCTCCCATGCCACCTTTCTCACCCTTCTCCTCCTCCTAGCCGCGGGGGACATCTCCCCAAAAATCCTGGCCCTCCACCTCCCTCACCCGCTCAACACCCTCCC